TACCTGGTAACCCTACTGATCGGTGCCAGACCCCTGGAGCACGGCCTCCTCTTCTGGCGCATCTGCCCTGCCCAGGGCTATGTCTACACTCGCGGCTTCTTGCTCAAGAACATCTTGCGCAAGGGTTCTTGTTCAAGAAGTCTTGCGCAAAAACACGTCCACACTGCCATGTGCGAGCTGTGCTTTTGCGCAAGAGTTCCCATGGCAGCGTGGACACTCTCTTGCTCAAGAAAGCTCCAATGGCCATTTTAGCCATAGGGCTTTCTTGCGCAAGAAATCCCTGCCGAGCGTCTACACTGCCCTCTTGTGCAAGAGCTCCTGAGCAAGAGAGCTTATACCTGTTAAGAAAGAGCGTAGCTCTTGCACAAGAAGCCCTCCCTTACCACGCCGTAATGTACATTTCCTTGCGCAAGAGCAGGCGGGCAGTGTAGACACTCTGCGGATTCTTGCACAAGACCGGCCGTACTTGCGCAAGAAGCTGTGAGTGTAGACATAGCTCAGGTGTTCTGGCAGCCTCCTCGGGTAAGAAGAGGGCTACCATGGCAGGCCAGCTGCTTACTCTCTGCCTTCCCCCTTTTCATCTGCCTCCACCGTTTTTAAATACCGGCGCCTTCTTCCAGCACCGGCGTGCCCTTGGCTGGCTGGTTTCTGACCTAGCTGGCGTTTGCATGTGCCGGATGGGGGGCTGTCTCCACTGGCCATCCCTGCGCATGCACCGCAAGCCCAAAATGGCGGCAGCCTGCCGGCCACGAGCACAGCACCACCAGCAGGGCTAGTGTGGGGGGGTGAGGCCCCCATCACAGGGACGCTCTGGGGATGGAGGACGCGTGGGGGAGGCCGGGGCCCGCTCCAGGCAGGGCCGGGAGAGAGACCCAGCTCCAAATATTGGTGGAGCAGGATCCCTGGCTCTGGTTATTGCTGGAGCATGGGCACCTCGAGCCCATATAACTCGCCGCCCATGCTCTTGGCACTCCACCAGCTCTGTGCTTCTAGAGCAGCGAGAATACATATGCCGCAGCAGCAGACACCATTTTCTACACTCTGGGTCCTAGTGGTGCCCACCCCCCATTGTCTGGCACCTGTGGTGGCCGCCTCAGTTCGCCTCATGGTAAGGCCAGTCCTGACAGGACCTGTCGCCCCCCCACTGCTGCCTCTGTATCAGCCAGTCTAAGAGAGGCGCTGGTTTTTAAACTAGGGATGTTAAATATCAATTAGTTGAATAGTCCATTATCCTCATGAATTCTGATTGGTTAATCAACTGTTCTGTAGTACCCAAAGGTGGGGCCAACAGCCAGTGTGCTCCAGCCTCACTCTCAGGGAGTCCCCTGCCACTCCATGCTGCAGCCACTGTATCAGAGGCACCAGCATGGGATGCCAGGCGGGAGCTGGTCTGTGAGGGGAGCCAATTTAAAAAAACAGCCTCCCTTGAGGTCTGTCTGCTTGTCGCCCGGTGCTGCAGCCTCTGATAAAGAGGCAGCAGTGCGGTGTGGGAGGGGGCAGGCAGCCCCAGTATGAGCTGGGACTGAGCCAGGCTGCCTGCCCGCTTGGCTCCTAATACACTTTAAATGCAGAGCTGCAGCAAGGGTAGGTCCCAGACCTGGTGTAAGCCAGGACTGAGCTGGGCTGCTGGCCAGCCTGCTAAAAAAAATAATTACTAGTGGCGGAGGAGGGGAATACATGTAGTCTATAACATTTACCTATAACTTCTTGCTTATCGGTTAATTGACTATACTATTACATCCCTCTATTAAACTGGCTCCCCTCACAGATCAGCTCTTGCTTGGCACCCCACAGCTACTGCCTCCGTATGAGAGGCAGCAGCATGCAGTAACACAATTTAATTGACTATTCAATTAACTAACATTTAACATCCCTACTCCCTTGCATGATGCTGTGTATATGATGCCTCTGATTCTAGGCTAGGGTGATTAATAGTTGTGGAAAACAGTGTCTAAAGAGCTAGCAACGCCTGTACAAGATGTGTGGCTGTCGACTAGACGTGACATCACATCTGTGCTTTTGGAGGTATAGTGGGAGTGTTTCTCCAGCCTTTTTCAGTGCATGTGTATATGGTCATGCTGCAGAACCAATTGTTCTTACACAGATTGAAAAATTCATATAATTTCTATATCAAAAGCAATCTGTTAGTGGCTATATTTTAAAGCACTCAGTTTTTCTGTTGGTAGCAAAGGGACATGAGACATCTTGTGGACAGAATTTTGCAATTCGAACACTGGGCTGTGCCTCACAATATTCACTTCTTGACCTAGAGATGCTCTGCCAGGTCTGTCATTCAATAATAAGTTGAATTATTTTTGAAAGCAGAGTTATCTGAAATAAGGTGTTTTACTACCAAAGCATAGCCTTCTGCTATGAATAGGGGAAATGCAGGGTGCCTTACCTACTGTTATGCTGGATGTAGAGTCTAACATTTTATTTATTAATCAGTGCTCAAGCAAGAAATGTTCCATAGACACAAAGAGGCCCAGCAATCCTGCAAACCTCACAACTTGCCAATTCTTAAAGCAGCTCAGCACAGGGAGCTGGAGGTAAGCATTTCATTTAGCATTTTCTTTACAATTGTCTGGAACTGGTCCTCCCAACTACAAATTGCAACCTTGTTGCAGTAGCATTTGTTGTTTGTAAAAAACAACAACAATAAAACCACATTTAATTGTAGGGCCTGAGCTTATCTGTTAATCTTGACTACATCAGCGGTGGGGGGGAGAGAAGAGAGCGTGAGCCAGTGCCCCTGAGGAGCTAGCTTTAGGCAGTTTCCCCACAAGCACCCAATCTGCCTGCCTTCCCACCCCAGCACTGCTGCCTCTCATAGAGAGGCAGCAACATGG